CGAGAAAGTTCTACCATATTTTCCTGCGTGGTTTCCCCTTGTCAGTAATGCAGGATAGAGGGCCTGACAAGGACAGCTGTCTAGTTGTTTGGATGGGACGAAAAACCGAGGTCCTGTGTACACATTGGCGTGCACGTAAAAGATCACTTGGCAGTTGGAATTCGATATAAGAGTAGGCTGTAGCGCCGCTGCCCTGGCAAAACTTCCCTCTTAGCACACTGTATGGCGTATGCCCGTCTTAATCAGCCCAGGTTAGGATCAGATTTGTAGGACGTTAAACTCCATTTCATTTCCTTTCCTTTTGATAATTGCGCATATCCGAACGTAACGTCCTGGATTATGGCCCTGATTGTTCGAAAAATCGCATAATAAGGGTTAAATTCGAATTTCGGAAAAATCGAAATGAAACTGCCTGACAAAATGGTCGCTCTTTGTACATAAATTGTGGAAAAGTATGCAATATGAAGGCATTGGATACTCAAGATTTTAACTAGATTAGAACGGCTCTCCATTTAAAAATTTAATTGAAAATTGGGAAAGTGAGGCCAAGCCTCGCATATACGCGTGTTCTTGTTACCACAATGCACACATCGTGTCGAAACTACAAACTGTGATAACTTGGCTCAGAATGAAGTAATTTGAATGAAATTTTAATTTTATATTATTTATTTTTGAGCTTTTATAGCAAGAATGGTCAGCTCTTTATCTAAATCTGACAGAATGTATCTTTTTCAAATTTTGCCCCCCCCCACCCCCACGCTTTGCTGCAAAACCTGTGAACACTGCCCTATAATTTTTTCGCATTTATTTTAAAGTTTGTGTGAAGCATAATATTCAGTATTCCACAAATATTCTTTCCCGTATTATCCCACCTAGTTTGAAAACCTTTAGCAAACGTGATAGAGGCTGTAGGTTTGTTGGGGTTTTTTTTATATCAAAATTGGTCAATGTCACAGTTTTCCTTTCTGATATACTGCTGACTGTGTGGGCGTATTTCCACATTTTAAAAGTTTTTCTCAAAGAGCTGTTTCCAACTTAATGCTGTGGATAAACTGTTACAATCTAAATGTCTGCTTTTGTATTTTATTACATTATATATTTATTTTTTGAATAAAGTATAGATACTTGTAGTATATTTTGTTTAATAATTATGTAAGTTGTGCTGGTTTTTTGATTGCAATTACATTAAGAATTCTGAATGGTTATTGATAAATATAGAGAGAAATGGGGATTAACTTCCACACGAATCACGCTAGTTCATTTTGGGACTAACATGTGGTTTAGTTTTATTTCAATAATTCATTTGCACGTAGGGGTCTTAAGCAGTGTGAGAAAAACGGATGACCTGGAGAAAACCCACGAGATTGGACAGGCTACCATGCTACTTGTCATGTACAAGTGGGGAATCGAAACTACGCTACTTTCCCCTTGTCAGTGATGCAGGACGGAGGGCCTGGCAAGGACAACTGTCTAGTCGTTCGGATGGGATGAAAAACCGAGATCCCGTGTACATATTGGCGTGCACGTAAAAGATCCCTTGGCAGTTGGAATTCGATATAAGAGTAGGCCGTAGCGCCGCTGCCCGGGCAAAATTTTCCTCATAGCACACTGTATGGCGTATGCCCGTCTTCATTAGCCCAGTTTAGGAGCAGAACAGTAGGACGTTAAACTCCATTTCATTTCATTTCATTTCAAACTACGCTACTTAATTCAATGAAAGAACTTATGATGCAACGAACATATGTTAACCGTTTGACCACCAAACCCTCTAGGACGAAATAGAGAGAAATGGGGTTAAACGTCCAGTAGGCAAAAACTTTCATTCTGGCCTACGATTCAGTTTCAGTTCAATAATTGTTTGCGCCAGGAGTCTTTAGCACTTCATATGGTTAAAGAAGATTTGGTTATTGGTTGACTGAATTTTACAATTTCAACCACCAATAATAGATTATATTAAAGGTTTTAATTGCTCATTTGGCATTAGAATTGCATCCGAAAATAATGTTTATTTAATGTTAGATTTACGTTAAAATGGTCGGTTAGATTTCCATCATTTTGCTCATCCTTTTAACGAAAAATTAACATCAGGCTATGACGTTAATCTAATGTAGAGTTTATGTTATATTTACGTCATTTTCTGACGTAAATCTAACGTAAAGTTTACGTCATTTTCTGGCGTAAATCTAACGTAAGTGACGTAAACTTTACGAAAAGTTTACGTTAGATTTACGTCAGAAAATGACGTAAACTTTACGTTAGATTTACATCAGAAAATGACGTTAATGTAACGTAAAAATGACGTAAACTTTACGTTAGATTAACGTCATTTCCTGACGTAAAATTATCGTTAAAGAGATGAGCAAAATGATGGTAAACTGACTGACCATTTTTACGTAAATGTAACGTAAATTTAACATCATATTGTTATGTGGGATATGTAATTCTACAGACGAAGATAACTACCATTATTTTTCATATGTCCATCCTACTCTGCCCAAAGAACAATTCTCCAAAATGTTACAATTAACCTAATCTTATATGGTAACCCCGACCTTTCAGATGATACCAATTTTAACATATTTAACATAGTGCAAAAATACATTAAAGATAGCAAGAGATTTTAACACTTTAACATTTAATATTTTATTTACAATATGCAATACTTTTTAATACTCTACGATTAGACTCCAAGAAATGTATATATGATTGTAACTCACTGTCTATACATATGTCCACCATTGTCTATTGTAAACACAAGATATAACTGTTTTATATGTTTGGAGAGAACTTATATAGGCCTTTGCCTGTTGTTCAATCCAGTTCAGTTTATGAATAAAATATTGTTTAAACAACTATAGTATCTCTTTCTTAATTACAGCCATGAGTTCTTTTTTGAAGATTGCAATATATTCTTTAGAAATCAGCTATAGAATTAAATATAAAATGAAAATTTAATTATAAAAATAAAATCAACTTAATTTAATGTTGAACATTAGTAGTAATTGGGTTTACATCATAGTTAGGCGATACTGCTTTTTTGGGTGATTCATAATTGCATGTTCTCAATTACTTTATAATATTAATGTAGCACCATTATTTCATTAAAATGTTCACTGTAATCGTATAATTAACCATTAAAAATATAACCCACGAAACACACTTCATAAATATATAAAAAACCTCTCAATATATGGCTTAATTTTACATCGTAATTATTATATGGCTTTAATCAACATCATGGCTACAAATACATCATAAGTATTAAATGAGCCGGTTTATTATCGTAACAATGCTAGCAATGAAAATCGAGACTACGTTATTCCTATCAAAACTGATAACTTCGCTCAGAAAAATAGTAATTTGGCAGAAATTTTCAAACTATTTTTAAACTATTATAGTGAGAACTCTCAGCTTTTTCTGAAAATCTTACACACTGCATCTTTCAATTTAACTCGTAAATTCCATGAGGAACTCAGCGGAGAAAGTGGATCTGAAGTCTACCTTTGAGAATACTAAAATTTCAAAAATGTTCTAGTTTATGTGTTATGACTTTTCAATTGTAAAACTAGTTGTAAAATTTAGTTCTATTTATTATGAGTCCATTAATAGGCGCACGAGCCAGCCACACCCTAACTTTTCGGAAATCAGATTTTTCGAGCAGACGGGTATAGTGAAAAACAATAATATATTTTTTTGAAAAATGAAATATTTTACCTTCTAATAAAGTGCCCGAAATCCGATGACTTTTACGTGCTAATAAAACACTACTTTTACTTTCGTTTAATTGAATACGGCGAATTTGTACTACATTGACTATGGATTAAAACATTTTGTCTGGAGTTACTTTGCTTTGCGTGGCATTTTTCGGGCATCGGTCATTATTTGTTTCATCAACTGCTCGGGAAGCGTGATGGATTAAATCTAAAGCATTGAAATCAGTGAAATAAACGTTGACTATAAACAGTGTTTTTCGCGCATCATATACATTTGTATTTCTGGTGTCCGGTGATTGCACCTTCAACAGCCTGATTGATTGATTTGTTGACTGGAATTCAGGTCGTCAAAGAGTGGGATTTCTATTGAAAAAAATTATAAATAAGGCAATATTGGATCACTTTGAAGTTGTTGTACTCCGGGCTTTGTTATACTCATTATTTGTTTCGTCAATGTGTCAGGAAGTAAAATTTCTGGTGTCCGATGAAAGTTAAATTTCTGGTGTTCGATGAATGCAACTACACTAGTCTGATTGATTGGGATTCAGGTCAGCAACTTAAGTAAAGCTATATTGGACCAGTCAGTACTCATGGGCTGGAATAGCCCTTGGGACCATCTCTAAGTTCCAAAATTTTCTCGTGATCACTTGCGACCGGCTTCGTAGGCCGAGACTTCTTGGATTCTAAACGAGAGTGTTTTCGTCATTTCAATTTCGGCACTCTCCTACAAAATCCAGGTGGGTATAAGGTGGGATTTCGGCTGCAAGACAACACAAACAAGGCCCTAATGGGATACCTGTCAAGTTGTTATACTCACGGCCTGGAATAGTATGAAAACGCATTTGCGGTATATTTTATTTTTGTACCCCCCCCCCCCTCACACACACACACAAACCTAACATTCATCAGACCCGTGTGCCCACCAGTCTATTGCTTACGGCAGTAGAAAGTTGGCGTAGCGGACTGAAGAGATGACGCTATTCACAATTTAAGCTCCACTCAGTACTAATAACGAGTTACTTAACCTTCATGTTTGCTCACTGAAGAGCCCGTTAGCGATTTTTTTTATTTGTCATGGCGTGATAATATGACAAGACGTAAGACGTACTAACCGACCTTTACCAGGTCCGAGTGGACTCTACAGTGTTTAATGTGTACCACGTGGCTCCACATTTGTAAATCTCGCACCCCCTGCCCATGTCATGTCGCCATGGAGCCTTGAGGGCTAGTCAAGCCGCCTAGTGGAGCTGTTAGTAGCCAGTAAAACACCTCACCACTCACCCGACTACATCAAATCATTTCTCTATCTTGTTAGTTAATTGACTCGAGTCCTGTCTCGCCTCCCCGTCTCTATATCTCCTTTCAACATATCCACAGTTTACCATACCCACACTCTCATTCAATCTGTCGTTCTACACAATGCTTTTACACAGTTTATTTCTACACAAGTAGATTACTATATTATACTGGTAATAATTTAGAAAGGGGATTCGACCAATGCAGTGGTTGCTAAAAAAAAACAACCTGTGGTACCGAATATTATAACACAAACGACAGCTGTTAATGGAAACTAAACGTTCCTTTAAGAATAGTCAATTTGAAGAATTACTCCCAGACCAGGTGTAACAATGTAAGGAGACTAATTAATTAGACAATCAGGGGACTAAACGTCTCTGTAATAACAGGTAAGTTTTGAGTTTATAATTTTGAAATGATTATGAATGATTATGATCCATATTATTACAGAATATTGGACTTTCTATTCTCAATACAGCATTTTGAAATTCACGATAATACCCAGGCCAATATTAATTCATCTTTAAAACCCTTAATTTTATCTTTGATAGACAATTTTACCCCCATATAATTTGTACACGTATGTTTTTCTGGTGGGCAGGAGTGGCTTACAATATTTATATAAGGCTTTTTTAAAAAAAAAAATTGCATTACGTTTATCAGAAATCTATTTTTATTGTACAAGGAAGTGTCATCTTTCATGAATATATGTTATCTTTCTATTAATATTTTTGATTACTCCATCTTGACAATATCTTTCCACTATGAAGTTATTGGATTTTCCATGATTGGTGATTTTTTATTATTCCTGAAAGTTATTTAACTAGTGTTGTTCTATAATTGAATTATTTGATTAGCCAATGATGTTATTCGATTATTCTATGAAGCTATTCGATTATTCCACAATGCTGTCGTGTGATAATCACATAAAGTTATTTGATTATCATGTGAAGTTATTTGATTATTCCTTTGGTTATTTGATTATTCCATGATGTTATTTGATTATACCACAAAGTTATTCGATTATTCCATTATTTCATAATGAAAGTAATTACACTTTATAGCAGATTTCCTGGTAGGCCTACGTAGGTTTAGCAATTGTTTTTTTATATTATATTATATTATTTGATATTCATATTCTATCAATAATATAATATGGTATTCAGAAAATTAGATACACCCGTCTTGAGGATAGATTAATCTGTAATGAGCATCGAATATGAAAATGCATCAGGATATAAGATTAATAAAAGTCACTTGTTAATTCTCTGGCCACTTCTCGTTTAGATAACTTTATCTCACTTTTAGTTGGTTTACGTTTAAAGCCTATAGATAAATTACAGAAAGTACAGAATACTGCAGCTAGACTTGTTACTTTAACTAAGAAATGTGACTACATAACTCCTGTTTTATATAATTTACACTGGTTACCTGTTAAATGTCGAACTGATTTTACTACTTACTTTTAAATGTTTAAATCTTTTAGAGCTTTATACACCTGGTCGAACATTAGGTACATCAGATAAATTCATTTTAAAGTCAAAACTGTTCAACTAGTCTCTTATGGTCAGCGCTCTTTTTAGTTTCAAGCCTGTTTTATGGAATAATCTACCATTTAGTTTAAGATGTTGCACATCTCTATATTCTTTTAAAAAAACAACTTACACAATTATTAAAACAAGGTTTTAACTAACATGTCCATAATCTTGGGGGGGCGGGGGTGTTTATGTTTTTTTTTATGATTACATTGTCACTTTGTAAAATGCCCCTGAACACGTTATATGCCGTAGTAATAATAATAATTTTTTTTTAGACACATCAGATTTTTTTTAATATAAAAAGTATCGATTAGTCTATATTATGATTTAGATTAGAACGAAAATATAGAGTTAAATAATCATTTGACATCGACATAAGCAGATATAAACATACAACATACAAGCGTAAAATATGTTGGTTCAAAATCAATCTTTCATTGCATTTAATTACCCTAAAGTCACCCATTTACAACTGGGCAGTCCGAAACTGTCATATTCAAAAAGACAAGTTTGAGATTTACGATTTGTGACATAATAATTATGTCTCGAACAGCAAACCATTTTTTCTGACGTACATGTGGAGGTCTAATTAAATGTTTTTTAAGGAGCATAAACTCTGGTGTATCATATCGAGACATGTCTGGCCGGTGCCACATGCCCGAATTATAAATGTTGTCTTGGTCATATTCAGTTTATTAGTGTAATATTGAGACTGACACTGTCCCCTTTTTCTGTGCATTGAGTTGAGCACTGTCAGTTATATCGAGAATGTTAATCATTAATAGACTAGGGTAATGTTTATTTAGGTACTATCGAGTTAAATGTAAAGAGATATATAATGCTAGTTTAATGATTAATTTGACTCATGAGCTCTCGTCCGTCAGTCTGGCTCGAAATCTAAACACATAAAAGAAAAACAAGATCTCGTCTGAAACAGACTATTAGATTCTTACCCTAATTATAGCAGTTAATTTATCTTTATTTACATTTGATTCTACCTCGGACTAATAAAATGAAAACAGTTTTATCAGAGATAAAATTCTTTACCTGGTGCGTTATAAAACTCGTGATATTATACATTATACACCAAATAACGTGTAGGGCCTGGTTTAATGGATCTGGCTATCCCTGAAAAATGGATCAGTCCTGATACCTGAGCCTGCTAACTCTACTGTTTATACAGTCTGAGCTATTTTGCCCCATTTCAGCTAAAAGTGAAGGGTTATCCCGATATGGTGTTTACATGAAAAGGTCAGTCCTTGTAAGAAAACCGGGCTAACCCGTTTAACCGTCTTGAACTGTGTTTATATAAAATGCGAACTGGCTCTTCTAACCGGGCTTCCTGGTTTACAGACCAGGTAGCCCGATTGGAAGGGTCAGTTTGCTTCCCTTATAAATACTATTCACTGAATTATCCGCCCTTGCCGTAAGAGGCAAGTGTCCCAACTATTGTTCTGAAACACTTGAGTCGTTTGTCAGTTGCACGATCTGTTAAAATGTCGCGAACAACGTGGAGCGGGAAAGTAAAGTCTTTGCAAATAAATTTCTGAAGGCGTTTAGAGGAAATGGTTCACCATCAAGAAATTGACCAATATTGTACCTGCAGAAAATATCGAAACATTGAGTGTAGTAGATCGAAAACGGTTTCGACCGACATAAACTTTGAGGATGAAGAGGCCAGAGAAATGAATGTACCTTCACATTGACGTACATGGGAAGCGTAATGCCACCAGTGAGCGGATTTGGTGTTATGTTGTAATTACCGTTAAAGTCTACAATATAATACAAATTAGATTACAAATTCGTGTCGTTTATTTTACACACCGTGTTAATCTAATCAGTGCTTTGATCAGTATTATGCTCTGTAAGGAGGAGTAACATTTATATTGTGGAAAATCACTACTTATTTGCACCCCCTTATGGTATCTCTATGACAGGTTATCCCTGTCACACGATTACATGATATATGCTGGGTCACGTGACCTGTTACTATGGTAAGCGGGATTTTGGTGGAGTGAAATATCGTATCTAGTCAGCTTGCTGGTTTAAGAACAGACCCCCCCCCCTCCCCCGCTCCCCCGCTCCCCGGCGTGTGTTTGGATAACAACTCATGCCACACGTGATGGAGATGCCTAGATTCGTATTCCGAAAGCAGGGCTTATGTGGACCTTACAACTGAGAGAAACTGGCGTCAACTCGTTTTCATGGAAATAACATAACATGATAAGAGACATTTGTCACGTGATTTTATAAATAGGTAAAATGGAAGCGAACGAAGGCAACAACTTTTCAAATGTCGATGATGCCGACAATAATGTATAGTAATAGAACTATGGAAAAACCAACCATGCCTTTGGGGGACTTCTTCTAAGGTATTCGCCATTTTGTTGACCACATGATGAATAAATTAACAATCACGTGTTAAGTGTAATCACTATCAGGTCCGAGTCGACATGGGCTCTCCGAATTCTGATGCTCCCAGTTGCTCTCGGTTGCCCTCAGTTGCTAACATGATCGACATATCGAAAGCAGTTGATCCCAGTTACAAAGTCGACATAGGCCCCGCTTAAGACTTTAAAATGTGTTTTTGAGGAATCATTTAATGAGATAGAATGACTATCATTCTGCCATTTTCTGGGCTCCTACCACAGACAATTAGAGAAATTTCAAGCTTGGGCTCAAGTGCACAGAATGCGGGGGTGATCAGATTGGTCAAGCAATGTTCTTATGTTTAAAGATACATTATGTGAGATTAGTTAAAGAGCTGGCAGTTCTCACTATAATAGTTAATAGCTAGATAATTTAAAGGCAATTTGCTGAAAATTCCAGTCAAATTAATCCACTATGAACCGAGATTTTAGCAATTGAATATTGGGGCTAGCCTCGATCATCAATACTAAAGTCGGTAGGATAAAAAACATAGTCTCGATTATCCATTTTTTGATTTAATTATGAATGGAACGTAATCCAATAAACATCGCAGGCTAGCGATGCCATCGAGAGTTGATTATGGTATTATGGTCTAGATATTTTAATTAATGTCTAATTAATAATTTAGATAACATTTCAGGCCTAATAGTGGGGCGGTTAAGCAAAAAATCGTGCACTTTGGGTTAAAAGCATGAAACTTGGCACATAGATTTCATCAACCCTGCTGATTATTTTAGGATGTGGATCCACCTCAGCAGCTCACCCTGGTGGTCGTTACGGCCATCTTTTCCAAAATGGCCGCCGATTCATTGATATACATATAACAAGGGGTGTCACAATAAGACATTTTTTTACAAATCATTTCAGGCCAGCAATTTCCAGAGGCAAAATTGCTAGCTGAACACGATTTTTGAAAAAAGATTTATCTATGACGTTATTTTCGTTTGGGGTTTGCCTGATTTCAAAAATGGCCGCCAAAATTTGAAGAAAAATGAATTTCCAGATAGGATGGGTGATTATCACGCAATGTATGCCTTGTAATATATCAAATATATGGTTTTTGTTGTAATTGAACTGAAAAATAACCTCTAAAACTAGTTTCGCCAAATCCAAGATGGCGGAAATTCAAAATGGCGGCCAAAATATACCCAAAATGGCGGATTGATCAGATTAAAGTCATTTCACTGTTTGATTTGGTTTGTAATATATAATTTAAAGGGTTTACATTGTCACTGAACTTAAAATTAATCTAAATAAAAAAATAGTTTCCAAAATCCAAGATGGCGGAAATTCAAAATGGCAACCAACATTTATCTAAAATGGCCGATTTGTCGGATAAAAGTCATTTCACCCTTTGATATGGTTTGTAATATGTAATATAAAGAGTTTTCAAAGTCATTGAACTTAAAATCAAACTAAAA